ACTTTTGCGCCTGCGTTACTTCAGTTGATTCTTTCCTCCCAATCACCACTCCACCATTCACTTAAGGTTTCTTGCACAAGGGCTTGGCGCCTTCACCACTAACATAAAGCTATGAATAGTCGTGGCGTAATGTCAACTCCCACGCTGCAGTCTGGGTAAAAATGGTCAGTTATATGTGGACCGCCTCTTTGGACAACTGATTAACTGGCGCTAGTTGTTTTTGTTCGCTGTTTTGTTCGTAACCTCGTGCATCTTGCCCACAACAAACGCAGTTCGCAATCCTTCCTATAATATGGGCAGGCCATTTGGAAAGCGATCAGCCATCTCGGTAATATACACTTTTCCTTGACTTCTATTACCTAGTTTAACTCTCTGTGTGATGAAAATTTCGTTTGGTTTTGTTCATTGTGAGCTTACTGATAATTTACCGTAATTGCCCCTAGCGGTAAAAAAGATCAGATAGAATCACCACACCAGTGGAATTGAAATTAAGCTAAGCGTTATGCATCGTGTATGTAATGTCAAAGCAGTAAAGTTCTCAACTCATGGCAATTTATGGTCAATATAGCAAAAAGTGTACCAAAGTTCTTTGTTAATTTTTAGATGTGGAAGCGGAAAAGAAACATTCGGGACATGTGTACCGCAATGAATGGCGTTTGTAAAAGAGGAACAGAAGAATTCGAAGTAACGCCTGGAATTTGAAAGAAACTGATTAGCCAGGGAGCAACCTGAAAGAAAATTTAAAAAAATAAATCGCTGTAAGGAAATACGAGGATAATGTTAAAAATACTGGAATGTTTGTCAGATTGTGTCATTAAATTTTGCATGCAGGAGAAGATCGTTACTGTTTTCTTACCACAACAAGGAACAGCTAGCGAAAAAGGAACGCCCTTCCTTGGCGTTAAAAGGAGTGGATAACGTTATTTTTCGGATTTAGTTTTATATCGCACTTTAATCTTAAATTAACTGGTCCTATTGAATACTTAAGATATAAGATATGGCATAATGGCATAAGACATGGCATAAGGTTCCACATCTTAACGCCACAGTAACAACATTAATTTTCATATTGAATGAATCGATCGATCAATCCCTCACAAAACACTTAAGAAGACGATTAGCATTGGAGCACGCGTAATACGGCCATGGGTTAAAATCTATATCCGACCAAAGACCCCTGACAAGACTTTAACATAGAGAAAATATTTTGTTTTATTCTCTCAAGCTATAGGGGCAATCTGACGATTTGTTGGCAACTTTTTAAAACTTCCTTGCGAGGCAAATAACTACTGGACATATGTATTGGTTTTTTAACAGGGAGTTGTGGAAAAGTCCAACTTTTTCCACCTCTTATATTTCAAGATCAAAATATCTCGTTACGATAATTTCATGGGTCAAAATCTTTCCAACCCGTAGAGAGACCCAGTTTTGCAAGGAAAAGAGCACAAATAATGATATAACGAACATTTTATCTGTCACGTTTATCCTTCGGGCATTCAAGTTCTACCATCTTTCATTATTTATATCCTCACATGATGCATGTAACATCGCTGGTCAATGCGAGCAGTATGCAGGACGCAAATCATGTCATTTTTCAGTTCTCCGTGAGTCTCTGTGCATAAAAGTTTGGGCTCTCGTCCGATATCTGGGATGTCGTGTGTGCGAACCCCATCAGGTCTTTAAGATAACATTGAAAAAAAATTGGGAATGAAATTGTTTTTGGCGTGAAGTTGATGTCAGTTACAAATTTACATTGCAAATTATTCTTAGAGAGCATGCTGTTCATAATTATTCATCACAAGTTCAGTTTGCTAACGACCTCGCTAGTTCTTGCTGCGTTTAAGTCTCCGTGAGGAAACAAAATTTATTTTTACACAGAAAGGGAAGGGCATTACACAAACTCCATGGTTATTCCCCGACAATTTGTCCGAAACAACGATATCCTGAAACAAAGTCAAGTAATCTGCGCGCAAAGGCGGTACACGTGTTTAATCCTAGAGGTTTATTCTCGCTCAAATATTGATGGAATATGGCTGGCGCAAACTCGTCGGATGATATTTCAGGTTGGTAGAGTTAAAGAAACAACTGCTAACTGGTACTAAAACGGATGTTCGTTATACTTTCCTGTACACGGTGCCTACATTAATCTACCGTACATATATTTGTGGCTCGTTGATGCAGTGTTGTCTGTTAACGGCTAATTAGTATTGTGTTTGTGAATCGCTTGAATTATCCTAATTCTGAGAAAAGCTGCCCATTCCTGTTGGAGTTTAACAGCAAATATTCTTTCCTTTGAAGACATGATATACGATGACGCTAAGGGCAGACCGCCTTCAATAGAGACGAAATATTTATGCCCGTCCGCAGTAAACATTTCCCACTGGAGTCGCCTGTAATACAATAAATACTACATCGCAAAATCCGAGAGTATTAATTCGTTTTCAATTTTGAAGCGTTCTGTTAGCTTTGGGATTTCAAATCTCGCCATTAGGCTCAAGTTTTACCTTTTTTTTTGTTATTTGCAGGTTTGTTGACCTTCTCAAAAGTAAAAGAGATGGCACTTCACCGATTTCTTAATGGCCTCTGCGACACCTGTGATGAGAATGCTGATGGTGAGAATTACTTTGTCCTCGTACATTTGCTTGTAATGTGGTTAGAAATGAACTCCAATCTTCTTCGGTCATATGATTCAATTTTCTGTTTCTTGTTTTACTGGGATGGTCAAAGCTGACAAAGTCTACAAACATTCTGCAATTTCGATGAACATTCAGGGAGGCTTCTACTGAAACAGCTAGGCACGAGGCTTGCGTCGCTGGCAAGGGTTGTTGGTGGGCTACGATGGTAAGTGTTGAATTAAATTTTTTTTTTCTTTCTATACCTTTTTTTTAAGTACCTAGACGACAATACGATACGTAAACAAGAAGATAATAACATTCAAGATCCAGTGGGAAGCGAAGACCAAGGGTTGGAAGAGGAGCGAGAGGGAAAGGGAGGGAGAAGACTGAGGAAGGAAAGGAGAAGAGTTACCAGTAATCCTTTCGTCTCAAAGGGTATGGAAGGTTTTGAAGATACCCCTGTCACAGATAGGGGACAATCTTAACGTGGAAAAATGAGACCACATCACTAGTGGAAAATAATTCACATCTTGGTTTTCAAACTAATAAGGTGACATTGAAACGCTTAGCTATTAGTAATTAAGTCAGAGTAATTTAATAAATTAAGGTATAAGTATTTCTTCAGTGTAAAACTATGGTAAGTAAACATACAAGGTGATAAAACA